CTGCCGTAGACCGTTGTCACCCAGACCCGTAAGAGGAAGCCCAATCTGGAACCGGGCCGAGGCCTTTCTTACAGAGAGCTCTCTAGGTTCTCAGCCTCCTGGAGCTGCTGTCTTTCTGAGCAAGATCGCTCTAAGGATCAAGAGCGCTGGGCATTCATCCAGATAGTGGGGACACTGCGGTGAACAAAACGGGAAATGTTGCCTTGCCCGGATGTGACTTAGCTTGTGGAGAATGGAAGACCGTCAATAAATAAGCCAAAAATTGTAAGTGAAATGTAACAGGGACAAAAAAACGTGCCCTAAAACAGTGATAGGGACCGTAAGGTAGGAACTGAGGTTTATCATATTATTTATTTACTGCCTCCCACTCTGGCTCAGGCTCGCCTGACACTGTATGTGACCCAGGCTGGCTTTGAACAATGCCATACCCTGCCGGGTGGGTTGCTTGTTACTTCTTAGGGGTTGGGGATGGGAAGGGGCACACGTGCGATGATGGCACACCTGTAGCGGTCACAGGTCCGCTTCCAAGATTTGGGGATCAAACTCAGGCCAGGAATGGCAGCAAGAGCCCCTACCCACTGAGTCATCTCGGGAGTTCTTCTGCTAAAATTGTAGTTGGTTGTTTCGGGACAGGGTATCAACATACAGGCCTGCCTGGCTGGGAATTCACAGAAATCCCCATGCCACTGCTTCCCAAGCGCTGGGATTATAGGCACGAGCCATCAAAATCATGAAATTTTAAATATGAAGACCAAGGGGCCAGAGACATGGCTCACTGGTTAAGCTCAGTGGTCAAGGGCACCCAGGTTTGATTCCCACCAGCTACAGATGGTGACTCACAACCATCTAACTGCAGTTCCAGAGAGTAAGATACCCTCTTCTGGCTTCTACAGGCAGCTGCATTAAAGCATGCACACGCACATACACACTTAGAAGTAAAGAAAGAATAAAAAAAAGGAAAGTCAGGGAAGCTTTTCTAAGAACGTTCTAAGATATTTCTCTTGCTGAAGACACCTCCAGAGTCTTGGCTCAGTTGAGTTCTTCCTTGACAGACAATACTAAGACACCGAACAAGTCAAGTGTCTTCTTTCGTTTGTCCTGTTGGGAATTGAACCTAGCATCTTCTCAAACTGAGCAAGTTCACTACCAGCAAATTACATCGCAGTTAAGAACGTGGAGTTTTAGGTTGTTGTTGTCCCCACCCCATCACCAGACAGGGTTTCTCTGTGTTAACAGTCTTGGCTGGAACTCGCTCTGTAGACCAAGCTGACCCCAAACTCACAGAGGCCCCTCTGCCTCTGCCTCCCCAGTGTTGGGATTAAACACTCTAGCCACAACTGCCCAGCTGAGAAAGTCCTTATTTTTAAAATCACAGCTACCAGTACAGGATAGCAGCCCCTAGAAGTGGCGGCACCATTCATTTCTTCTTCATCTGTTAGACAGGGTTCCCAAGAAGGAGAGTCCTTATTTCAGAAGGGTCTGAGTGGGAGTCGGTGAGATGAAAATTCACACAATGTGCTGGGCGGTGGTGGTGCACACCTTTAGTTCCAGCACTGGGGAGGCAGAGGCAGGCGGATCTCTGTGAGTTCGAGACCAGCCTGGTCTACAGAGTGACTTCTAGGACAGCCTCCATAGCCACTGAGAAACCCTGTCTCAAAAAACAAAAACAAAATTCACCCGACGTGTGAAGCACTAAGCCTAGCACATAACACATTCAGTAAGTGTTTTTGAATACTGGCAATCATTTTATGCTTCTACCTCCAAAAGAACCCAAGAAGTCAATATTTAAAGTTAGGCTCATTTATTGGGGCAGATGGGAAGTGGGGGACAGACAGTCTTCAGGGTTTGAGAGAGAGGAAAAAAAAAAAAAAAAAAAAAACCTTA